CCCACACACTCCCCTTCAGCACTCAATCCCATCACCCCCTCACCCCCCATCCCCATTTCTCCCTCACCACCCACCCTCATTCACCGCCCCTAACGTTGTTGTTGTTGTTGTTGTTTTAGATTTATCTACTCTGAACTAAAATTTGTATGTAGCACGGGCTATGGTGAGCCCGTAACCGCCCCTAAACCCGTCCTCTCCTCCCCCTAACTCTCCCACCCTCGTCCCCGCAGCTCCACATGGTTCACGAGTAATCCGACACGTCTACACTTAACTAAATCAATTTTATTTAATTTTGTCTACGAAGGGGGAGTTTATTGGGCAGCGTCACTCATTCAGTGAGTGAACACACCACCATAGTGACAGTACAGGGCAGCGTCACTCATCCTGTGAGTGAACACACCACCATAGTGACAGTACAGGGCAGCGTCACTCATCCTGTGAGTGAACACACCACCATAGTGACAGTACAGGGCAGCGTCACTCATCCTGTGAGTGAACACACCACCATAGTGACAGTACAGGGCAGCGTCACTCATCCTGTGAGTGAACGCACCGCCAAAGCAGCATAAACAAACCCCCACCTCCCCACAAAAGGAAGAAATCCCGCTGGGTTGTTCATCCTGTCACAAGCTTCCTTTTTCCCATGATGTTTATGCCACCAAACACAAGACAATAATTATACCTACACAAGTTACAGCCCCGCTCCTGTGCCAGGTAAGTCCACTACGGGCTCACCATAGCCCGTGCTACTTTGAACTTTTTGTTCCGAGTAGCTGGATCTATAACAAACAACATACCTACACTGAGCTCTCTATAAAATAATTTTATGGAGATTTTCTTAAATCCAGTTATAACGCCCAGCAACAATTAGTTTCCAGCACAATAGTTGCCATAGGTTACCTTGAGGTGCTTCCGGGGCTTAGCGTCCCCGCGGCCCGGTCGTCGACCAGGCCTCCTGGTTGCTGGACTGATCAACCAGGCTGTTGGACGCGGCTGCTCGCAGCCTGACGTATGAGTCACAGCCTGGTTGATCAGGTATAGCCATACATACAACAATCGTAAATATATACATGTAATTTATAGGCGGATAGGTTAGAATTGTCAGATGTGATATCGCGGCCCGGAGCAAAATTTAAATTCGACAGCCTCTTCTGCGATATATTTTATGCATATTCAATTTTTTTCCACAAATCGTTCATTAGAAACTCTACACAGGGAGGTTGTTTTATACATGTTTTGTTTTAATACTTAGTATTTTGACTAGGAAGTACGGTGTGTGGAGGGGGGGGGGGGGTGAGAGGGAGAGAAGGGGGAGGTGAGAGGGAGACACGAGAAACGACAGAGAGGAAGAGATGAAAGGGTATGCGATAGAGTAACGGAAAAATGGTTTGTTTTCCCATTACCGAGAACAGGAGGCCTGATAAGCATATCGAGGCCTCCCTCTCCTTACCTTGCGATGATTTCGGGGTTCAACCAGGGGGTCAGGTCAACCTTCCCTCAACCAGGGGGTCAGGTCAACCTTCCCTCAACCAGGGGGTCAGGTCAACCTTCCCTCAACCAGGGGGTCAGGTCAACCTTCCCTCAACCAGGGGGTCAGGTCAACCTTACCTCAACCAGGGGGTCAGGTCAACCTTCCCTCAACCAGGGGGTCAGGTCAACCTTCCCTCAACCAGGGGGTCAGGTCAACCTTCCCTCAACCAGGGGGTCAGGTCAACCTTACCTCAACCAGGGGGTCAGGTCAACCTTCGCTCAACCTGGGGAAGGGGGCCCGTTAAAGTTTGAGCCGGTGTACGCGCGCGTGAGAAAGAAAATGGGAAGAGAGTAAAAGTAATGACATGAAAAGAGCCAGAGGGAGGAGGGGAGGGCTGAGCAAACAGCAGTCAGCCATAAACGCCAAACTGTGATGGTTCACACGGCCAGAGGAGCCCCGTGGAGCAGCAGTACCATGCACGAGCACATCCGCCTCAAGTGCACCAGTTCATGAACCGAGGCTCCATTGCCACTACATTGCAATGAAAAAAGTACTCGGGCAAAACAATATCTGGAGATGTGGGTTGGGGGGTGTAGCAACCCCGCTCTCCCACCCCTCCCTTCCCTGCTTTTTAGGGGTGGGGGGGGGGGGGGGGCTAAAAAGCACGGAAGGGAGGGGTGGGAGAAGGGGAGGGTTGCTACACCCCCCTCACCCCCTCTTACACAACTGGATGGCAGGAGCACCGTGAAGATGTGGGAGGGTGGCAGACGTGATGTGTGAAAGAAGGTATACGGGGAGAGAGGGGAAGCAGGAGTACGGGAAGGGGACGGAGGGAGGGTGGAGCAGGGGCGGAGGGAGGGTGGAGCAGGGGCGGAGGGAGGGTGGAGCAGGGGCGGAGGAAGGGGAGTTATCAGGAGAAAGCGCCAAGCCATTGCGACTATATAGCCCTTGGAAGGGGTCAGGATAAGGATTTGGGATGGGACAGGGGAATGGAATGGTGCCCAACCACTTGAACGGTCGGGGATTGAACGCCGACCTGCATGAAGCGAGACAACACCACCACCGTCGCTCTACCGTCCAGCCCAAATGGTTGGGGTAGGGGCGGAGGGAGAGAGAGGACTGGGAGGGAAATAACGTCAAGGCACACTGCGTCACTCATTGCGTTAGCCTAGCACCAAACTTCGTACACAACTTGTCAACAACCCAGTAAAGTCATCCTACTGTCTGGGCTCCAAACTTTCCTACCAGGGGTGACAAGGTTGTTGTATCCGAGGCAGATACCTCCGGGGACCCTAACTTGTTTCAAGTGCCCACGGCATCAAGGTAACCCACAAGGAGCCCCCGGGGTGGGGCTGAAGTACTCCTGCGTACATACAGGGGGACCAGACGTGCAGAAGACCAGGGGCCAGGACACCCAACATGCACCACCACGCTCCACCACAGTTGACAGCTTACCTTACCTCACCCTCCCTTAACCCCCTCTTACCCAACCCTGCTCCCAGAACTTCCCTTCCTTGATCCAACTTATACTTCGGTGGTCATCCCACACCCCCTTCCCCACTATCAGCGTATGCCCCAGTGATTGATTGATGAAGATTAAGCCACCCAAAAGGTGGCACGGGCATGAATAGCCCCTAAGTGGTGGCCCTTTTGAGCCATTACCAGTATCCCAGGGATAGGTAGTAATGGCAGTACTGCTCAGTACTCACTTCCCCCTTCAGAGCAGGAGAGATTGCTGAAATAGAGGGAATACAGAGAACATATACGGCACGCATAGACGCAATAAAGCACCTAAATTATTGGGATCGTCTCAAAGCCCTCCAAATATACTCACTAGAAAGAAGACGAGAGAGATATCAAATAATATACACCTGGAAGATACTGGAGGGCCAAGTACCAAATCTACACAGTAAAATAACAACGTACTGGAGTGAACGACATGGAAGAAAATGTAGAATAGAACCAGTGAAGAGCAGAGGTGCCATAGGCACAATCAGAGAACACTGTATAAACAGAGGTCCGCGGTTGTTCAACACCCTCCCAGCAAGCATAAGAAATATTGCCGGAACAACCGTGGACATTTTCAAGAGGAAACTAGATTTATTCCTCCAAGGAGTGCCGGACCAACCGGGCTGTGGTGGGTATGTGGGCCTGCGGGCCGCTCCAAGCAACAGCCTAGTGGACCAAACTCTCACAAGTCAAGCCTGGCCTCGGGCCGGGCTTGGGGAGTAGAAGAACTCCCAGAACCTCATCAACCAGGTATCAAGAGCTGATACTGGAGATCTGTGGAGGTGCAACTGCACCCTGCGCGACGGGAGATGTCTCCCGTGTATGCCCCAGTGATCACCACACCCCTCCGCCCTACCAGCAGGATACGATGACAAACCATATACACACACTTCGTAATGGTACAGGGGAGGTCACACGCAGACCAACCCTCCCCTCTCTTCCTATTCCCTACCCTTGGAGTAATGAGCCTCATCATCCCTGCCACCCCTGGGATCCTCCTCTTCAACCCTCTTACCCCTAGATCCTCCCTACCACCGGGATGATCCTCCTCACCCCTCCTATCCCTGGGATAATAATATTCCCTCATCCAAGCCTGCCTTCTTTTCACGTTTTCACAAAAACAAATACTGTATTTTATATGTAATTTTTGCTTCGATGATTTCGTTTTTTTTCCATTTGCAGTAAATGGAACTTATCCTCATTAAACATCATGTTATTTTCAGTGGCCCATTGAAAGACCTGATTAACATCAAATTATAGGTTTGCCTTCTATATTGTCTACTCGCATGAAAATCCTAGTGTCATCTGCTAAGGATGATGCAGTACTGTAATTTATATCCTTGTCTATGTCTAATATGAGGGTGAGAAAAAGAACCGGAGGGAACAAGTGCGGTACCTTGGGGGACTGAGCTTCTCACGGTCCGTCCTTGACAACGGTCCAGGATGGACCGAAACAACGTCGTTTCTTCATTTACTTTGTGTCGTTTAGTCATCAAATATACAGTCCAGTTTGACTGCATTTCAGTAAAATTCACCTCTCCTGGGTTGTGTATTTCAAGGTTCAGGCCAGGTACCTCCCACCTTTCCGTCATGCATTTCACCAAGGTTCATCCCAGCTGCCTCCACCTCTCCTCCTCCTGCATGCCGGAGGCCAAGGTCAGCACCCGTGCTCCTGGGCTGACGACCCTCGCCCCCTCCCCACAACCATCATTAACACATTGAAGAGCACTACAAGCCACCTTATGTTCACCTCCAGGTATGCATGCACTCGCTTCACATGGAGTGTACCTGTAATGGGTTCAGGTAATTGTTCTACTCTCCATTTCCAGTCTGGGGTCAGGCTTACCACCCACAGTTGATGCTACCTCAGTAACTACAGCTCGCATTTTACCCATTCCCTTCACATCTACCCAATTTCCCGCACGTTACACACCACTCAACATGCAGGAACACAAGCCTCAGGTTCAAGGGCCACTGCCATACCAGCCCGTCCACCTGCACACGTGTAAAAACCACTCACCGCTCTCCCGTCAGCCAGATGCTACAGCCAGCAGTGGCAGGTGTTGCAACGTACCTAGAAAATAAAAATAGAAAGATCAGGAGTAAATAGGTTGCGTGAGAGCGCAGCCTCGTGTCGAGCCTCGCCTCTAGAGCTTTCTCCAGCAGAGGCTATAAAACTTCTTTCGGAGAAACACACACACAACCACTTAAAACGATACTTAAAGTCTGTATGTAATGAGGGGAGGACGAGCCGCAAGCCGACACTTAGCGTCCTCGCGACACCACCATAATGATAGGCTTCGTGTATCCACTGAGCCTAGTCAAAAATAACGAAATTGTTACCAATGGCTAACTTAAAAGCAATTTAATGACAATGGTACACAACTATTTGGCGAGATTCCATCATTTGCGCTACATAGAACACCGGTCAATATTAGAACCCATCTTCCAAATCGAGAGGAACTCACAGCGACAATGGGAAATCTGCAGAAAATCCCTATCAGGGCGGCGAACATGGGAACAGGTGCCCAAGCTGGCACCTTGGTCTTAATAAATAATTATCTTGCATGCCCATGGGTTATTTTGAGCCGAAGATCATATATAATTGTTATATTTATATTTTACCATTTTTTATAAAAAAAATGCTTTAAAGTATTCTTAAAGAGTCTGTTTAGGCAATCAATAACTATGAACTGTTTTAAACGGTACAGCTTTAAGAATAATGTTATTAGTAACTATTAAATCCCAAGAAGTCAAATGAATTATTGTTTTAATGGAAAATGAGTCCTGTTTCTTATTTACGTGCATATTTATTAATTTGCTATTAACAAAATTATAACACATAACTTAAAAGCTTTTTGGAAAGCCTGCTAAAAAATTTTAGTATTAACATAGTATTAGGTAATTAGTATTAATGGTTTTTACAAGATAATTTAAAAATAAAATTTATAAATAACAATTTTATCTTATAAACAGTAAGAAATGTGAAAGTGAAATTATATTACAAAGCTTATAAAAGAAAAGGATGGAAGGAACTATCAAGAGAAAGCACCAAGCCATTACGATTATATAGCACTTGGAAGGGGTCAGGATATGGATTTGGGATGGGACGGGGGGGGGGGGGAGGAATGGTGCCCAACCACTTGGGGGGTCGGGGATTGAACACCGACCTGCATGAAGCGATACTCCCCAAGTCTAGTGTCTCTGGTCCAATAGGCTGTTACTTTGAGTAGCCTGCAGGTTCACACATCCATTACAACCCGGTTGGTCCAATAGTTATTACATGATCTTGTCTAATACTGTACATCAAATTTTTGAACGTTGGAAAGGCTCAGGACAGGCTGGCTGACCAGCAAATCACATCATGGGTAACAATGGGTAAGGTTGTGGGTATCTACTGCTGTCACGAGGTGTACATCTGATCCACACCATGGGCAAGGATTCACACCATGGGCAAGGAGTCACACCATGGGCAAGGAGTCACACCATGGGCAGGGAGTCACACCATGGGCAGGGAGTCACACCATGGGCAGGGAGTCACACCATGGGCAGGGAGTCACACCATGGGCAGGGAGTCACACCATGGGCAGGGAGTCACACCATGGGCAGGGAGTCACACCATGGGCAGGGAGTCACACCATGGGCAAGGAGTCACACCATGGGCAAGGAGTCACACCATGGGCAAGGAGTCACACCATGGGCAAGGAGTCACACCATGGGCAAGGAGTCACACCATTGTAACGGGGGGTGGGGGAAATAGCTCTATCTTGTCCATTATTCCACCCCCCAGTTAACTAACGAGGCCGGGGGAAACAGCTCTCTCTAGTCCGTTATCCCGTCCCCAGTTAGCTAACTATTCTTAGAGCACCTCCAGAGTTCCTAAGACAACCTCTCTCGTTCAACACCTTGTAACCTAGGTATTTGACTACCTAGGTGCTACGACTACAAGGCGCCGTCACTTGATCAGTTACCCGAAACTCTAGAGAGAACTCTAGAATTCAAAATAATTGCCACAAACGTATAAGAGAAAACGAAAGGAAAGAAATGAATAGTGAAGTAATTAGTGAGGGTTTGGGGTGAGAGGTAGAGAGGTGGGAGGAGCGAGGAGAGTCATTAGTTGAAAGTGAGAGTTTAGAGAGGGGTGGAGGGAGAGGTGTAGATAGGTAGAAGTAGAAGAGTAGATAGTAGAAGTAGAAGAGTAGATAGTAGAAGACGAAATGCTGCCACCATCCATTCATGATCATTACATACAAGACAAGGAATGGAACTTGCCTGTATCACAAAATTCTCAAAAGATGTTATCATGAGTTCATTATTAGTATGTTCCCTCTGTACCATGTACTCATTAAAATCAGGGAACCAATAATCCCCGAGGCTTTCTCACCTCAACTCAACTCTAGGGACACAGTGAAAGACCATTTAAATAATAAATTCAACAATTATATTTTTCATGATAAATATCATAACTTAAGCAATTCAATTAAAATGTTCCAGTTTAATATGCAAAGTGAGTCATCATCCAAGAAATCGAGAACCCTACAACTTGACTGCCCCTGATCATCACACAACATATGTAAACACGACCAAGTCACCTAAATGTTCACTCACCGAGGACTGAGTCTAAGTTGAATAGAGAGGGGGGGGTCTGTAGTTGACAGAGACTCCCACCCTGCCGGCCGACAGCCTCCCTGGTAGGGCTGTCTTCTCTCTGCTCTCCTGGCTCGTCTGCTGCTCTGTCTGTTAATGCTTAATGCTTGATAGCTCTCCGAGTTTATATTGGGGAACCTAGTAGCTAACTCCGCCCACAAGTAGATAGCCTCCGGCACTACCAAGCCACTCCTTAAACGTCGGCATGTTTGAAGGCTACCCGGCTACAATTAAGAGCTTAGCGGAAGCAAGGTGAAATTCTCATGATCTGACCTCAGGTCACTTGAGGTCATTAACGCTTTGAGGTGTGAGATCTCAGGCAGACAACTGGCGCCTTTCCAAATCCCTGTCTGTGACTCATATTCTATATATATTTTAAATAAACTAACCCAAACACTTTTACAGTGTTACATCTCCCCTTCTCCCCGAAATAAAGTTTTTGCAACACTGCTAAAGCAAGCTAGCTGTGTGCAACAACTTTATTAACGAAAAAAAAAATACATCCTAGCTAAACAAATATACATCATCCTACTCTAAAAAATGAAATATGTAGACAGACGTCCATTGTCTCTGGCTGGGCGACGTCACTGCTTGGTCTTGTAGATAATCCTGTACCACATTTCTTCAACACAACTGCCTCCGTCGCTTCTCCGTCGTTAACGCACAACAACACTTGGTCAACCCGAAAGCCGTTACTACTTGAACTGAGCACAGGACCGTGGAATTCGGTTGTCCCAGCTGATCTGTAATTGGCCCTACGTCAGTCACCATGAGAGACGTATATTGGGGTTCTTCACAGCTATAGGGACTACAAGTTTCGAGACCTTCATATAGTTGCCAACAGTAGAAATCCCATCCTACTCTTCTTCCTCCCTGTTGCTCCAGCACGCCTCCTGCAGAGAGCTACTTCTGACAGCCACATCAAGTCCGCATGACACAGGAAGAATCACTCAACAGAGCAACATGCTTGTAGGAGGGGCGGCCAGTCAAGGCAAACGATCCTGTCTTGCAATTACGCTCCATGCAATAATGCTGACACCAGCAAGGGACACTAGGTATCATGTCTCAGCTTGGCTTATCTTCTTCTTTCTTCTCTCTTCTTTCTTCTCTCTTCTTTCTTCTCTCTTCTTTCTTCTTTCTTCTCTCTTCCTCCTCCCATGGGTCTTTGACAAGCGACCTGGGGTCCATTGGGGGTCTGTCCGTCCTGGGGTCCATCCTGGGTAGACCGATGTTGGTGGGACAGACTGGAGTCGTTGTTGCTCCTCTTCCATCATTACTGGGTCGTCTGGGGTCGTCTGCAGAACGACCTGGGGTCCACTGGGGGTCCGTCCGTCTTGGGGTCCACTGGGGTCCGTCCGTCTTGGGGTCCACTGGGTAGACCAATGTTGACCGACCGAGAGGGCTGCATCTTGGGGTCCCCTGGGGTGGTGGTGGTGGTGGTGGCCCTGACATCCAGGTAGGGGCTGGTCGTCGTGGTGGTGAGGAACAGCCGTGAGTGTGGTATAAGGCAGCCGTCTCCCTCTTCTGTATGTGCGTCTCTCCTCTCTTCTGGCTCCCACCTGTGAAATGAACAGAAAGGCGACAATACGTGTTCCCAAGATGTTTGTGTGACCCTGTCGTTTGTATAGGGTTACACAGTCCTATCATACCGCTCTCCTCCTGGCAACAACTACACTTCAATTTTTAATAATTCAATTAACTCTGAATGATATTGACTTGGTGGAACATAAAACAGTAACAGAGTAAAGTTAGAGAAGAGAGAATAAGGTCATCACTACTTTTAACTTGTCACACAAAAAAAAATCAACACTAATAGACAAAACACTAGCCTAAACTTAACTGTACCGTTCCTAATCTTAAGTACTTAATTAACCGTTACTCCCACCCTTAACCTACAGCCACCTACGTGACCCAGAGTGTTTTCCTAGCTTCTCCGCCGGTCAACAACTCAAAACTGTTGCCACCCCTGTGACCAGACTATCTAACGTCGAGCGTCCCCAACGTGAAGTCTACTGACATACTAAGGCTCCCCCTAGCATGCTGTACAAGACCAGTACACCTCGGGTTATTGCGTTCAAATGGAGTAAAACAGTCGATCGCAATAATCTGAGCAGAACCACTAAAAACTACTTAAAATCTATTTAAGAACTACACCTGCCACTCCCCACTGACCTGGAGACCAGCGGTGGCTGGGTGTCCCCGTGGGACATGCGAGGTCACCTGTCACACTCAGCTGACCTGCACTACCAACACCGCTAAGTTCCCAAATCGCCAAATATTATTACTAACATAAATCACTACACACGCAAGTTCTGGTGAACATTCCCTGAACACCACAAAACTCACAAAATCACTAAACCACAACACTAGAGAATCACTATCTCCTAGCCTGAAAAAAAGTTCGCTAACTCGCGAATAATAAACACC